CTCTAATACGCAACTAATTGAATCTTGGAAAATATGGTGTAGTCACATAGAAATTGATTGTGATTGCAAAAATGATAGAGATCATCAAATTGGACAAGAAGTTATAGTTAAAGAATTTAAAATCCAAAACTAAATGAAATCAACAAAAATGTCATTGATGGCATCCTTCTGCATACATAATCTCAATCATATAATCCTCTGCCCTGAGAACATTCTAATTCTTTCCTCACATGACAATCTTGTGCTTTGTGGCAGCAATTCCTTCATGTGAAGGATTTGCAAACCCAGGAGTCAGAGTTCTTTACTCCAATGTTCCTGGCATCTTTAAACGGTATAATCCTAGATCTGATTGCATCCCACCCCTTTCCAAAAACTTCCACAGCCCTGGATAGCCTACAATATATATTCTAAGCCAACAGGTCTGAGGATGGGGAAATCTGTATTTCCAAAGATGTATCATGAGATTCTCATATTAATTTGTTTTCGCTAACTTGAATATCTGGTGGTACATGCATGACTGTCTCATCAGGTGGCTTATATTATTGGTGGTACAAACAAATATAATCATTTTTATCAGTCTTTTTACTAGTCAAATTAATAAAAAGCCACCTGATGGGATAGTCATGCATATACCACTGGTGATTCAAGCAGCTCAGCCATGAGACAAATTACACCCTGATGTGAATGTGTTAAGACAAATCTGAGACACAAGGTTATAAGCTATTTTCTAAGTCCACAGAGAGCAAGAATTACGTCATATTCATTTTACTTCCACGACTGCTAAATACAAGATATTGTCCATGGCAGAATAAGCAGCGACTTTACAAAAAGACTATTTATAAAAGAAAAATGCAATAACACAATGAATAATAACAAAACCACTGCCAAAGAACAACGCAGTCTCTATGTGGCTCTTTTATTGCATTTCAGTAGCTCATCCTTCTGAAGTAACTCTGAGTTTTATCATTCTTAGTTCTTTAATTTTCATTTTACTACATCATTATAAAACTAAACAATGTATCATGATTTTTTTTTTTGGTACCGGGTTCGAACTCATGACCTTGTGCTTGCAAGGCAGGCATGATGCCACTGAGCTAAATCCCCGGCCCATGATCTTTAACTTCATATGAATGGAATCAATCATTCATTCATTCATTTAGGTATTGGGGATTAAACTCAAGGCCTTCATAATGAGCTACATCCCCATCTCTTCTTTTATTTTTTGAGATAGAATCTCATTAAGTCACTAAGATGCCCAGGGCTGGGCTCAAACTTACTATCCTTCTGTCTCAGCTGCCCCGAGTGCTGGGATTACAGGGGTGCACCCTATACCCAGCTAGATGTATTTCTTCATGACATTTGCTTTTATAGTACACTCCAGAAATCGGCACCAACTGTTGTATATCATACCACTACAGGAACACAGCACCACCTATTTACCCATCTGCTTACTGATGAATATCAGGTGTGTTCAACTGTTTTCCATTATAAGACAATATAACACATAGGTGTTATGATTCATGTATATAAAAGTTTTACTGAAGTGTCTAGGAAGAAACACAATTGTTGAATTGATTAAACAGTGCCAAATAGCTTTTCAAAGTTTGGGGACCAATTTATTTTTCTATTTGCAGAGGGTAAGAGTTGTCCTTACTCCACAACTTCCTTGACAATTAAAATATCAGACTTAAAATTACTTTAGTGGGTTTGAAATAGTATTTCACTTTTATTTTTAATTTCTACTTCCTGACTGATAATATAGGTGGGCATCATCAACCACTGAGGTCTCTTCTGTGATATGCCTGTTCAGGTCAATGGCCCAAATATAGTCTTTTCCTTTTGGCTCACAGAAATACTTCTTAAATAATATTCTTTAAATTGCTTATCAAACATTTTCTTCCAGCTTCTAATTTATCTTTTCACTGAAGGTATTCTTTTGATAAATGGAAGTTCTTAATTTTAATGCAATTTTCTCAATCCTTTGGTTTTGTTTTCTTAAGTGTCTCATCTAAGGAACTACTTCTTATATGGAGGTCATAAAAGATACTCTTACCTTTGTCTCCCATAACCCAAAGCAATACCAGTTAGAATATAATAATAATTAAGGATAAAGAAATTAGGATGAGTGAAAGAAGCATGATGTTAAAAAGTACGTTATGATTTTATTCAATCCACAGTCCGGAATGGAAAAATTAACCTATGCTGTCAGAAGGCAGACTGAGTGGCTGCTCCACACCGAGCGACTGCAGAGTTCCATTACATAACTATTTGGTGTAACAAAAATGTTCTTTATCTTCAATGCAGCAGTGCTTACTGACCAAACTCTTAAGTACACTTAAAATTAGTGCATTTCATTGTACATACATTGTCTCTCATTAAAGTTAGCTTTAAAATGTAAATACATAGTGATAAAAGATTTCAAGTTACACATTTAATTAATTTCATGGTCAATTTTACCTCAATATTTTAAAAATATTTCTTTAGGAGATAGAACTTTGGAACTCAATCATAAGTTTTTCATACTTACTAGCAGTATCAGTATATAATACTTACTTTCATACTATCAGTAAGTATGAAATACATACTTTCATACTTACTATCAGTATCAGTATATAATGAATGGAGCTTTTATCAAGACTGACAAATTCCCATGATAAGGCAGCTTCCACACATTAATCCTTGGTCAGGTTGCCATTGGTCTTTATTGCTCATGAAAATGTATTTCTCTCACTGAAGGCTATTTTAAAATTAGTTCACTGGAAAAAAGGTCATTTATGCAGTACTGATCTTAAAACAATTCAGTCAATCTTGACTCTTCTGTTACTATTAGAGGCTTACTCAGGATGAGAAGTGATGTCGATCTGAGTCACTAGGTTGGTATTTTGAAGGTTTCAAATGGATGGAATGTGCATATTCATTTCTTTTCTAGTTTCACACACAGAGGATTTCAGGATAGTGTGATAGAGAAAGGGTATTCTTCCAAATTCAAGGTCTCTCAAGACATTTGTAATGAAGTAGCCAGCAAAAGCTCACAGAAAGTGCTCAATTATAAAGCACCCAAGGGCAAGTACAGATTATTCCTTGAGTCCTTTCCTTACCTCCAATCTCTGACACTGCTTTTACTCTTGTATTCTACACTATTCTTCCCTCATCACTTATTTTCGAGCAAACTTCATTCTCATTTGACTCTGCTCTCCAATTTTTAACTTAACCGCCTTTGTGTAATTTAATTTGGTTCAATTTCTTTGCTTCCTCTAATTTTCCCAGTGCTGTGCTCATTACTGTATGTGTTAAAAATCAAACAGCATTTAATACCTGTCATTGGACAGATTATAGGTGAATGGGGGAAACTTTCGTGTAAATAATGATGAGAGACCCTGTGTTACTGATGCTTTAAAAAAACAAAAGGCCCCTAGCTCAGATGAGAAGGCCCAAGAAGGCTTTGTGGGGCTGAAACCTAAACAGAGTCCTGAAAAGCTAATATGATTAAAGCTAATATGATTCAAGGTGGAGAAAACAGGAGGAGCAAAGCCAGGGTAAAGCAGGGGATCCTGATGCCCTATGGGAAGGTAAGCTGGCTTGCCAAACTAGTGGGGCCATCTCTTTCTGTGACTATTAGCATTCCAGATCTTTTTGGTAAAGATTCATATCAAACTTAATTTTTAAAAAATAAAATGTTTTTAAAGTTAGAAAAAGATTGTCATTTGTGTTGTTTCTATGTTATCTGTTTAATACTACCATAAATTTCATAGTTCATAGTATAATATAGTATTGTTTCAGCATGGTTTCCAGGGAAGTCAAAGTCTATGCTTTCAGAGGAATTTAATGTCCTGAAAGAAGCTGATAGTTTTCTCATTTTACATGTAGCCATGAAAAAATAATATCACAGTGTGGCAGCTGGAAAAAAGCAAGAAAACATACTCAAAAGGGCTGCATAATTTAAAAAAAATTATACAAAGAAAATGTGCTACAAAAAATGACATTGTTTGGGTTGAAGATTCCTCTATTAATTCTATTTCCCTTGACCCTATCATTTCCTTATCTATGTTCAGTGTTACAAATAATAGTAATACTTCCATATACAGAGAATATTCTTCCAGTGGACTGTTCAAGTAGACCATGTCCACCCTCAGGGCCAGTGTGTGTGTATGTGTATGTGCATCCAGTGTGTATGCAGTTTGCTGAGGTCACAGCAAGCATGGAGAGATACATCAAGCAACAAAATGTTTTCTAAGAACCCTGGGATTGTACGTTTCGATGAGGATTATATTCATAAATTTGAGAAACACAAACCAAAGGACACAATTACAATTTAATAATTTTAAATATCCATTAAAATTGGAGTGTGTGAACAATTATTAAAACATTTCAATTTTCTTATTCTTCAGGCTGCTTTTATCACCATCAGCTGGTTGGCCTCTTAAACACATCAGACCTCCATTTAAGCACCATTATCTCTATGAGATTATTCATTTAAAATAGAATACTTCCTCATACATTTTGGGATGTCTACCCTGTAAATCATGCAAATAAATAAATAGTACAATTTAAAGATACATGCATTTAGTGTTTGGAAAAAAGAAAGAACTTTCTATTGGAAAATCCTTTAAAAAACACTGGATTTCAAAACAATATAAATCACTATGTACCCTGTATTATTAAAACCGCATATAGCTGTTATGCTGGATATCATTTTTTCCCTTTAATTTGAATCACAAAATATTTTAAATGTTAGGGGTTAAAAACATTCATGGTTAAATGTTAGGAAGTGAGTCCAAACAGCAGAACCTATACCTAATGTATGTGCCATGATTCAGAATTAAACCTTTGTTCAAATCATTATTTTAAAATTATTGCTCCACACACAAAACACAAAGGTCTAGAGAAGCTCTTCAGGGCAGAGAGTTAATAAGACACACAGAATATTTAATTTTAAACATGAAGCGGGAAGATACAGACAAAAATTATTTTCTATCAAAAAACAAAACAAAACACCAAACCTTAAGGAAATTGTTGTTACTGTTATTGCAGTTGCCAGATACTCCTTGCAATTCAGCCACAGTGTTCTAAAATGGTTGACAGAAACAGTTAAAGAATATCCCACTCCCTGCCCCACCCAGAGAACAGTGTCCAGGTAAAGGACAGAAAGACACTGAAGTTTTAGTGCTTGCTGTAACACACACCATCTGTACCTTGGTTAAAAAATATCCTACTTTCAGTTTCTCCATGTTATACATACAATATAAAATATACTTTGTTATTAAATCCACAGTATTAGAATACCATCCATAATAACTGCAACCCCTTCCTGACACAATCTATTTTCTACTAGGAATAGCAAACAGATGAGTCAAATTTAATGTTATCCTCTTAATGCTTTTCACATAAAAATTACATTCTTTTTTTTTTTTTTGGTACCAGAGACCAAGCTCAGGACCTTGCACTTGCAAGGCAGGCAGCGGCACCACTGAGCCAAAACCCCAGCCTAAAAATCACATTCTTATGTAAACCATAGCTCCCATTAATATTTCTGCCACTACTCAAGCAATAAAAAATGCATATTTAGGTAAATACCTGCTTTCAATTTTATCTCATATTTTTAAAGATTCTACAGCAACAATCCTGTTGTAATATTGTTAATTTCCAATAATGAATACAAATTATAAAAGAATGACATGTTTTAAGAGAGGGGGCTTCAGTTTCTGAAGTGATATTTAAACTTATTATGAATTACTGCCTAACGAAACTTTGAAATGCCATCTGAAATAGAAGACTTTACAATGCAATAAATATTTTAGTTTAAAAAAATTTGGAGAAACCAAATTTTGAAAGTACATGCAATATTACTCATTTTAATTTTAATGACCATATGTTTCCTAATTCATAAAACGCATACAGTACCAACCTGTTCAGATTGTATTTCCAACGTGAAGCCACAGCACTTTAAATTGTATAACATTATTTGATAGAAAGATACCCATAAAAGACAAAAACACTACACAGAACATATGCCAGAGTTACATCATCTCACTATTAAAATGATATTAAATGTTGATAGTTGAGTTAATACAGGAGATTAGCTGTTATTAAAAATTAAATTCTAGTTGAAAAATTTATCATACCCCCATAATTTCATGGCACAGTGCTGACTGTCTGAGTGGTTTATTGAAATCCTCCATGGTTACCTTTCAAATTTTTAAAAAAGAAAAAGAAAAAACCAAATAAACAGTAATTATATTAAATCCAGAAATGCAATCAATCACAGATACACTCAGATATATATTTACAATTTTTCACTGGTTTACATTTTCATGTCCCTCTTCCTTATAGGGTACTTACTCCCTTTTACTCTTCAGCCTTTGGGTCAGAGCCATTTTTTATTCTTTATTTTTTAGATCTGAATGTTTAACAGTGAGTAAACAGAAATAGAAATATATAAAATCAAAATGGAACCGGCTTTTTGCTTATTTTAAACTCTTCTATTTTAAATATTTGGAGTAAACAATAGAACCTTAAATAGTTTGAGGATTATCTATACATTTCAAATGCTATCAAAGTATTACTTGTTTTCTAAAGTAAAACAGATATATATAAGCATAAATAATACACCATTAAGAAAAATACAAACTAGGATGTTATTCCTAAACTATTTTCACTCTATCTGTTCTTTTTTATACAGAACCAATATACTTTAAAATTTCAGAATATAATCCTCACATTGTGATGTTTTCCATGTAGCCAATTCAAGCAAGCAATACCTTTTTGTCAATGTGACAAGTTCCAAGTTGGAATCAACCTTGGACGGTTTGGTCAACAACAGAAGCTTGGTGTCAGCAAATAATATGAATCTAAGAGATGGCTCTGGCAATTAGCCAGATGGACTTGGTAACTCTGTATCTAAGTAGAAATTTTCTTGGATCAGAGCAGGGGCTTTCACAGGGGATGTTATCAGATAAAAGCAATTTTAACTCTGGAATCACAAGATGATTCTATAAAATGAGAAAAGTAAAAACTGAAGTGACTGATTATACACATTTAGGGCCTATGTTAAAAAAATATACCAATAAAGTGGTAAATTACATGAAATCACATCAATTATTTAAGGACAATTAATCTACTGACTATCCAATATTGGTTTTCCTCAGTTCTTTCACCTATTGGATGTTTTATTTTCTGTTAAGAGTGAAAGAAAGTAAGTAGAAAGTAGGAATGTAACATTCAAAACCAGTGAATTTAATATTTGATAACATTAGTAAAAAACTGAGTTAAGTAGTAACAATGAAAGTCTTAACGTCAGAGTTAATTTTCATTATAAGTACAGCTTTCATCTCTCCTATGGAAAGAAAGTTAGGAGCTAGTTTTACTAGGGCATATTTAAGTAAGGCACAGTGCAACAGACAAGAAAGAGGGGAAAAAGTCAGGATATGTCAGAGAAATACAAAGAAAAAGACTAGCATTTTCAGTAAAGTAAGAGTTACTTGGAATAACAGCAAGCATCTGACTTCTATAACCTCTAAAAAAGAGAATGTTTATCACAGAAGTGAATTCTAAGTTTTCAAACATTTCTATACTCAATTATTCTTCTTTTAAACTCTATGAAGATGATGCTTATGATTTGCTGCCTAGAGTAAAGTAATTCCCATATATTCAATTTTCTTATTACTAAAACTACTGAACAAAAGAACCACAGAACCTAAGTATTAAAAGAAAACTCATTCCTCAAAACAGGAATCCTCTTAACATCTTTTGTTGCTCAGTGATCCATCAAGAGTGTTCTGTTACACTCTATTCAAAAACAAGGCAGAGTCCAGGTTTGGAGCCAGGAAGATTCTATTCTATTCTAATTCTAACTGCCAATTACTGGTACTACAACTCGAAGGAAAACCTCAGCTGAAGCTTCTGTACTGCTAGAAAAACATATATTCTTAATATTTGTTGCTTTAAAGATTAAGTGAGACCATGTAGGAAGGGTATCTTCTCTCACAATGTCTGGCACTATTTAGTTATACCTCTACCCATAAAAATAGCTCATCAGGTGACAATTAACTACTTCCTGTGTAAAAAATAGGCAAACAAACTCATTAGCAATCTTCCAATTGGTATACAGTATGTTTTTAAGTATGAATGTGGAATAAAAATATTCTTTTTAACATTTATTCACTATATCAAATATATAACTTCTATCTAGCACATATTCCAAAGATACACACACACACACACACACACTCTCAGACGAGCATCAGCTGCTTGGGTTGCAAACTTCTGGTGATACATGTGATTAATTCTGCAAAATAACCAGAGGAAGATGTGATATGTGGCCTAAAAGCTTCACCCGGGGAGCTTTTAAGACAGGTTATTTTACCTTCTCTCTTTCTTTGTTAGACTTGATGTCTTGCATTATACTTATGGAATGACAGACACTAGAAGAGTTTCAGCGATCTGTCCCCATCCCTATACTTAAAGGCAAGGATACAGAGGCACCAAGACAAGAAATATTAGCCTCCTCTCCTTCCACCATTTGATGTCACCATACTCCCCTGAATCTTGGGTGTAAAAATCTTCATCTCGGAGGGTGAAGAGGCAAAAACCAAACCTGCAGAGAATAATTCTATAATCCTACAGTAGGGGTGCAGCCAAAGCAAATCAACATCTCTAATAAAACACAAAACATTGGAGCAGAGAATTGTAAACTAGGTAAGAACCAAGTTCAAATATTTGAGAAATCAGCATTGTAATTTTAGAATCCAAACTAACATATTTTCATATGTAGCCATCAGTGCAATTTAAAAAAACTTTCCATTTGAAATGGACTCTGCAAGTGAAAAAGTAAATTAATAAAATTCCAAGAGAATATTCTTATAAAGAGTGTCTAATCAAAAGTTAATTGATATACCACTTCTAATTTTCCATTATAATAAACAGAGGATACATCCACTTTATCCTATAAACATAAAACAGTATACATTTGTGCTAAAACATCTGAGAATAAACACAAAGGAAAAATATTTAAATGTCCACTTATTAATCTTCTCTCTGTTCTGACTAAAAAATAAAAAAGTTCTGGAAAAATAATATATTCAGGTGAGCAGAGGCTAAACATACAAAATTTTACTGTTTACATCAGCTGACATAAAGAATACTTGTTTTATTCAAATATTTACTAGCTATAAAGTACTACAACTAAATTGTTGATGGATCTTTTGACATGCCAATATGAAACACCCGCATGTTTGAATGTGTTTAGCATGCAGTATGCTGTCCTATTTTATCAGTGTACACTGGCACTGACATTAGAAATAGACCAGCATCTGTACTACATTACAGAACATAAGGGTGCTAGAGAGCCATTTTCACTTGGGAGCTAGCAATCTACTCATTTACTTGATTTTCTACAGAAAGTGGAAGGAAAATTATTGCAATATGTATCTATTCCATGGAACATGTGCTAGTGGAAAAGCTTTGCTCTGCATTATGTTAGACAAATAATAGTGAGCAGATCCAAAGAACTTTGGGGGCACTCTGGAAACCATCAGCAATCTTGTGTATGTAAGGGTGTGTATTTTCACTTAAAATGTTTACTGTTTTTATTATTTATTTATTTATTTATTTATTTATTTATTTATTGAAAAAGCATTACATACTACTATAGAACATCTGGAAAAGATAGAAAAAAATAGAAAGCACAGAGAAAAAACCCACCTAATTCTAGGAATAAAAGTAACCAGCACTCACATTTTAGTGTTTTTACCCCTTTTTGTCTCTATAAATTTCTATATAATGGTATGGTAAAAGATAAGACTCATTTGTTTCCACAGTTTTCATACTGTAAATAGGATTCCCATGACTTGATTCATAGTTTCTACAAATGGTATTTTTGTTCTGTGAGGATGAATTTTTAGCTCACTGTAGACACATTCTCCTTCAGAAACTGCAAAGATCCTACCGCACGCTTATGCAATAGTAGGAGACAACATCATGAGAAGAAATGCAGCACACAGCTCTGTCCCCCACCTCATCATCATCCGCGTCGTACTGGGCGTAGTGCTGCTCCATCAACTCCCTCTGGCGCCTCTCTTGCTCCAGGGTCTGACTTATCAGCTGCGCAACCTCACTCACTTGTCCTGGTTTTTCTCTCCCAATAACAAATCTGTAGAAAGGTTAAGGAAGACTACTATAGTTATGACTCTCCAACCAAAAGGAGGGCTAAGAAAAGTAACCACACTTGACATTTTAGCAGATCTACCAAGCCCCCTAAAAAGTAGTATCACCCATGTACTTTAAGTGGCGTACCTCGGTGGGAGGAAAAGTTAGTAATGGAAGGGATATTTACAGACAGCACATGGAGAGGGAAAGGGGGAACATTAAAGATTAACACTTTGGGAAAAGCCATAAAGATGAAATCCATTCTTTTTGGTTTTTTGGCACAAGGTATCACTATGTACTTTATAAATCTTTGATACTCTAAAAAATGGAATGAAACAATTTTCTGTTAAGTTCCTAAAACTTTGCTGATAGGAAAGGGAAACAGAACTAATATATTTTTTGTTTTTAGAAGAAGTTCTTTTGAGGGAAATGATGGTAGAAGAAAGAGTGTAGTCCAAGAAATAAAGGAATAAAGGGAACTGTTAATAATAATTCCTATGGGGGGAAAGGAAAATATTTACTTATTACAAGCAACATTTATGACACTTTCTGCTCAAAACATGTTTTGCTCAAGCAGTAAATATTCACTAATATTCATGGTTTCATATTAATATATCATTCTAATTTTGGGGGGTGGAGGACAGAGTCTTGCTATGTCGTTCAGGCTGGTCTTGAACACACTGTGTAGCCCAGGCTGGTCTTGAACTCACAACAATTCTCCTGTCTCAGCCTCCCAAGTGCTGGGATTACAGAGTGAGCCACGATGCCTAATTATTCTCTTTTTCTAAAATCACAAAAAATATGCCTGAAAATATAGTTTCTAAGTATCACTTAACATTATTTTGAATGTGACTCTTAATTTATTCTTGCTTCTGTACTTAATTGATGGTTTCCTTTAAGGAGCTGTATTCAATCAATTTTAAGTGACACAGACCACCATTTTCTGCACAAATACACTAAAGATCAAAATTCTTACACTTAGATGTTTATAACTGTCTTTTTAGAATATTCTGAAACAAAGCTTAGCTTTGAAAATATGCATGGGTATTCATTATCTTTTGAATTATTTTCCTTTGAGAATCAAGTATAGGCTTTTTACTTTCTTTTTTTTTTTGGTACCAGGGATTGAACTCGGGTCCTTTCGCTTGCGAGGCAGGTGGCGAAACCACTGAGCTAGATCCCCAGCCCAAGTACAGACTTTTTAATACTAAAACTTTTCATCTTATTCAGATATAATTTGTACACAGTAAGACATCTATTTTAAAAGTGACAAATATGTAAACTGGCAATCACTATACCAATGAAGATACAGAACATTTCTACAAATCCAATATATTTCCTCATACCTTTTTCCAGAAAATCATCTTCATCCTGGGCCCATATGAATCTTTCCTAGAGTTTCATATATAAATGAAATCACAAGAGTGGTTCTACCCTCTTTGGCTCATTATAATGGGTTGGAGATTTATCCATGTGCTCCAAGTATCAGTAATTTGATCATTTTTAACCAATGAAGAGTAAGTATTTTGTTGTATGGGATATATCACATTTGGTTGATCTATTCTTCTGATAGATATATAGGTGAGTTTCAGATATTATACACTAAATTACTATAAATACTTGTGTGCAAGTCTTTGTAGATGTTTTCATTTCCCTTAGGCAAATAACTAGTAAAGAAATTGGTGAGTCATATGGTAAATGGAAACTTAACTTTCAAAGAAAATTTCAAAGAAACTGGGAAATTGATATTTGTTAATTGTGACAGTTAATTGTAGTGTCAACTTGAATAAGTTACAGTAAGTGATATTAGTTTTTAATTTAGGTTTTGAGCTATTGGTTGTGAGAGTAAAAAATATAACTGATATTTTGGACTTGTGTAGTGTGACCTTTATTATTTTTTTCCTTAAATTCTTTTATTGGTACATTTTAGGTATACAATACGTTTACATTTATCATTGGGTGCTTGTACCTGTACATGTAACTTGGTTCTTATTCTGTTTCTCATTACCTGTGCACCCTTTATGCCCTCGACCCTTCCCTATTTACATAGACTTTGTTTCCATTTTTTTTCCCTCATTATCTTTCCTTTCCCTTCTTGCCTTTCCCCTTCCCCTCTGACCACCCCTACCCCTTTGGACCTTTTCTTCCTGTTTCAAATTATCAATTATTCATTTTAATCATTTTCATCCTTATTTACACTTTCAATTTCTCACACTAGAGAAACTATTCGGTATTTACACATGTGTGTCCTATTTATTGAACTTAAGAGTATGCCCTCAATATGCATCCACTTAGCTATAAATGTCTCTAGTTTCTCATTCTTTATGGCTGAGTAGTACTCCATTTTATTAAAAAACCACATCTTCTTTATCCATTTTCCAGTTGATGGGCACTTCGGCTATTCCCAAGCTTTCACTATTACAAACTGTGCTGTTATAAACATGGGTGGACATATATCGCTGTGGTATGTTTCTTTTAATTCTTTAGGGAAGATGCCCAGCAGGGAAATACCTGGGTCAAATGGGACCTCTAGCCCTAGTTCTTTGAGGTATATCCATAATGATTTCCACAGTGGTTGCACTAGTTTGCACTCCCACCAACAGTGGAGAAGGGTTCCCTCCCCCCCACCCCCTCCAGTCTTTGTTATTGGATGATTTCTTGAGAGCAGCCATTCTCTCTGGGGTGAGTTGGAATCTCAAAGATGTTTTCAACTGCATCGCTCAAATGACCAGTGATGTTGAACATTTTTTCATATATTTATTTGCTGCTTTTACTTCTTTGTCTGAGAAATATCTGTTCCTTTCAGATAACCATTTTTGAATTGAGTTTTTGCATTTGGGGGGTCTGATTTTTTTCAGTTCTTTATATATTCTGGATAGTAGTCCTTTGTCTAAGGTACAGGTGATAAAATGTTTTTCCCACATTGTAGGTTGTCTCTTAGCTCTGTTGGTGGTTTCTCTTGCAGTGCAGAAGCTTTTTATTTTTTATTTTATTTTTTTCCCATTAAGTTTACTGGTACATTTTAGATATAAAATACAGTTACACTCATCATTGGGATTCTGTAACTTCACATGAGTATCTTGGTTCTTTTTTTTTCCCCCTTCCCTTGTCCTCCCTTCAGCCCCTCCACCCTTCCCTATTTGCAAAGACTTTGTTTCCATTTTTTTCCTTTTCTCATATTTTTTCTTTTCCCTTTTTT